AAAAAAATCCATATTGAGGGCATCATTTAGCAGCTATGTATCTACAAATTTAATAATCAGATCATTGGAAAAAGATAATTGAGCTAAATGAGTTAGTGGCTCTCACTTAACAATTTCACGTAGATTCTGAGAAAACTGATCATTCTTTCTTGGTGTTTAAATAAAAAGGCAAATAATCCAGAATTTTGTCTTTGAATATATTGTGATTTTTGTGTATTAAAAAAGGATAGCATCCATAGCAAACTTTGGTTTTTTTTTTTTAAATAAATGTCAATAGTGGAATGATCTACCCTTTTTACTTGCAAAGGGTAAACAGCTACTATATTTCTCTAGGACATTACAAAAAGTTGTCTTCACCTTGAGAAGAAACTGAATAAAAATAAGTGTCCATCTAGGCAAACTTCTTATCAGGCAGAACTTGTTTAAAATTTTAGACATGATTTTCTTCCACCATTTTATTAAAAGAGTAATTTAAAGTGAGTAAATACACTTTACATCCTTTTACTTTTCTTTTCCTTTTTTTTTTGTTTTGTTTTGGTTTGGTTTGTTTTTTGCAGTGATGGAGATGGAATTCACCTTGACTCCTGGGTGTTAGGCAAGCGCCCTACTGCTGAGCTATCCCCAGCCCCTCTTACACATTTTTAAAGGTCAGTGATTTAAAAAAAAAAAAAAAAGACTGAATGAGTAGGAAATTGATCTTAAGTGCAAAGGTAAAAAGAAGCATTTTACATTATTTATTAAAAAAAAAGACATCAAAAATCCAGTGAAATTGATGTCTTAATAGACCTGCGGTTGCTAACAATGATGTTGATACCTGGTCATTGCTGAGGCTGACATTTAAAAATGCATAATTCTTTATACTCTCTCTTCAACAAAATTAGAGATAAGGGCAAAACAGTTCCTGCCTGGAAGCGAGGGGGTAAGGGGGGGGGGAGAGGGAGGGGGTGGGGGGAAGGGAAGGAGGGGTAGGAGGGAGAAATGACCCAAACATTGTATGCACATATGAATAAACGAAAAAAAAATGCACAATTCTACTTTTTATAAACATTTTTCTCACATTATCTAGTTTTAGTTTATGTAGTACTAATTGATCTTTGGGGAAAAAAGTGTTTAATATTCTTAGTAAAAGACTAGCTTTTCTACAATATGAAATCTATATATTCTTTTATATATGGGATAAAAGTTAAACTTAGTGGGGCTAATTACAGTGTCTTTGTATTTCTTAAAAGGAAGACTACACAGAGTTTGTCAAATGGCACTTTAAAACACAAAGTTGGGGATGGGGTCATAGCTCATGGGTAACGCATGTGTTTAGCATTCTTGAAGTCCTGGTTTTAACTCCCCTCCAAGAACTGTATTAGGCATAAACTTATTAAAAAAAAAAAAAAACAGTGTTTGCTCAAATGAACAATCACAAAGCTACCTGAATTTAATTCTAGACTCTATCTGCAGTTCATTTCTACTCTCACACCCTCATTCTCAGAGGGCTTACTGTGCAGCTCAAATGAGACAAGGTGTATGAGAGAAATGTAATGGGAACTTTTACTTAATTCCTGATGTTACACAATATACAATATTACACATCTTAAACAATGAGTGGGAGATAACTTTTTAATATATAATCCTGGAAAAGAAAATAGACAATCTCTGACTACATTTTACATATAAATACTCACAGATTTAAACATTCTTCTAAGTGTTTTTAAATTGCATATATTTTTGAGCAGGTATTAAATGCACATGGCATCAAATCCAAAAAGTAAATGTAAATACAATGAAAAACTAAGTCTTTTTTCTTGCTCACACATGTATCCAATTCCCCTCTGAAAATATATATGTACTTTTAGGACAAAAGATATCATACTTCTCCACATCTTACTTCTTTCACCTGGCCATATGTCTTGGACAAATTAATTTGAATTAGAAAAATAAGAATCTCTTAAATAACTAATATCTAACTACTTAGCATTTTACTTGGCCTCAGAAGTTCATCTAAGGAATATTTTCAAGATAGGATGCTTCACAGAAGAACAAAAACCACTCTAAGAATTTATTTGAAAAAGTTTATAGTTACCATGTTAAGTAAATGCGCACTAAAATGTTTTAACATTTTGTTTGGCTAGATGGTACTTCTGTACCACTATCACCCCTTTTTCTCATTCCAGATAAATACAGAACTCCAAAATAGCTTTGTTTAAGGACTTTTGGTGAATTAATCATTTTCTTTAAAATCACTGTGAAATAGATTTGCATAGACACCTTGTGAGTAATTGGTACTGGAGGAAGTGAAGAAACTGTTCAAAAAAGAAAAACCACTTCCCTCATTATTTTCTCCTCATTTTTTGATGGAGGAAAATTTGAAACATTTTTGTTGTTGGTATAGCATAATGACAGGGGGTGGAGGGCAACAGGGAGATAAAAATGACATGATTTTTTTCCAGTCAGCCATATTTGTTCTGCCATAGTTACTCTGTTACCTAAATTTCATAGTTAGATCATATTCAATCTACTTATTAAACAAACTTTTCTTTTTTATCCAATCCAGAAAAAAGTTACTTTGAATTAGTGAAATCTTCATTACAAAATACCTTTTAATGAAAAGATGCTTTATCCCTCTTAAGTATATAAATTAAATCAGCCAAAAAAAAAAAAAAAAAAAGAGCCCAAGTTGGACACTGGTAGCTCACAGCTGTAATCCTAACTACTTGAGATTGGGAGGATCAAAAGTCAACAGCAGCCCAGGCAAACAGTTTGAGAGACCCCATCTCCAAAAATAACCAGAGCAAAATGGACTGAAGGTGTGGCTCAAACAGTAGAGCATCTGATTTGCAAGCATGAAAATCTGAGTTCAAACCCCAGTCCCCCCCCAAAAAAAATAGTAATTTAAGCTGGTGGTAAATGCCTATAATCCCAGCTACTAGGAGATGGAAGCAGGAGGATCTTGAGTTCGAGGCTAGCCAGAGCAAAGTTAGTGAGAACCTTTCTGTCCTTTTCTGTGTTAGATATTTTCAAGATAGCATCTTGCCCCAGCTGGCTTCAAACTATAATACTCCTAATAGCTTCCTCCTGGGTAGCCAGGACTACAAGCGTGAGCCACTGGCACCCAGCCATACATATATACTTGGAAATGTCATAATGAAACTCCCTATATACCTATCTTAAACAAACAAAAATGTCTTTTTTCAAAAAATGAAGGACAGGAAGGCAAAATAGGTCCTATCTGGGGATTGGTACCAGTGGGAGGTGAAAGGACATAAGGAAAGGGTGAAGGAGGGCAAATATTATGTATTTGTGCATGAAAATGGAACAATGAGACCTGCTGAAACTGTTCTAAAGAAGGAGGAAGGGAAACTAAAGGAGAATGGTGGAGGGGGTGAATCTAACTAAGATTTTTTTTTTTTTGATTGATGGATTTTTTTTTTTCTTTTATTATTCATATGTGCATACAAGGCTTGGTTTATTTCTCCCCCCCTGCCCCCACCCCCTCCCTTACCACCCACTCCGCCCCCTCCCTCTCCCCCCCTCTCAATACCCAGCAGAAACTATTTTGCCCTTATTTCTAATTTTGTTGTAGAGAGAGTATAAGCAGTAATAGGAAGGAACAAGGGTTTTTGCTGGTTGAGATAAGGATAGCTATAAAGGGCATTGACTCACATTGATTTCCTGTGCGTGGGTGTTACCTTCTAGGTTAATTCTTTTTTATCTAACCTTTTCTCTAGTACCTGTTCCCCTTTTCCTATTGGCCTCAGTTGCTTTAAGGTATCTGCTTTAGTTTCTCTGCGTTAAGGGCAACAAATGCTAGCTAGTTTTTTAGGTGTCTTACCTATCCTCACCCCTCCCTTGTGTGCTCTCGCTTTTATCATGTGCTCATAGTCCAATCCCCTTGTTGTGTTTGCCCTTGATCTAATGTCCACATATGAGGGAGAACATACGATTTTTGGTCTTTTGGCCAGGCTAACCTCACTCAGAATGATGTTCTCCAATTCCATCCATTTACCAGCGAATGATAACATTTCGTTCTTCTTCATGGCTGCATAAAATTCCATTGTGTATAGATACCACATTTTCTTAATCCATTCGTCAGTGCTGGGGCATCTTGGCTGTTTCCATAACTTGGCTATTGTGAATAGTGCCGCAATAAACATGGATGTGCAGGTGCCTCTGGAGTAACAGTCTTTTGGGTATATCCCCAAGAGTGGTATTGCTGGATCAAATGGTAGATCGATGTCCAGCTTTTTAAGTAGCCTCCAAATTTTTTTCCAGAGTGGTTGTACTAGTCTACATTCCCACCAACAGTGTAAGAGGGTTCCTTTCTCCCCGCATCCTTGCCAACACCTGTTGGTGGTGGTGTTGCTGATGATGGCTATTCTAACAGGGGTGAGGTGGAATCTTAGCGTGGTTTTAATTTGCATTTCCTTTATTGCTAGAGATGGTAAGCATTTTTTCATGTGTTTTCTGGCCATTTGAATTTCTTCTTTTGAGAAAGTTCTGTTTAGTTCACGTGCCTATTTCTTTATTGGTTCATTAGTTTTGGGAGAATTTAGTTTTTTAAGTTCCCTGTATATTCTGGTTATCAGTCCTTTGTCTGATGTATAGTTGGCAAATATTTTCTCCCACTCTGTGGATGTTCTCTTCAGTTTAGAGACCATTTCTTTTGATGAACAGAAGCTTTTTAGTTTTATGAGGTCCCATTTATCTATGCTATCTCTTCTAACTAAGATTTATTGTAAGCACTTTTGTAAATGTCACAATGTACCCCCAGAACGATAATATGCTACAATAAAAAAAAAAAAACTCATACTGTTAACTGCAACACTTTCCTGACTTTCAGTATTTTTGCATTTAGTTACCATCAATTCACCATGATGCTAAGGACAGTTCATTCAAACTTAGTTACAAAAATTTTAGCTAGCTTCAGAGACTCTAAAATTCACTATAATAAAACCTGCCATCTATACTACCAAACCACAACCCCAACAAGAAAGTAAGGAATTACTTACTTGCACAATTTGCTTCTTGCCATGTGTTATTAAAAAACTCTGACAGAACCACAACTATTTGCATTCTATCTGCCATTAGGAGACTTCTGGCACAGTTCTGACTCTCTGAGGTATTCTGCAACAACAACAAAAAAAGGTAGAAAAATACAGTCAATATCTTTGGACTTTCACAACAACTTAAGGCAAACACCTTAGAAAAACATTTAAAATACTATAAATCTTTTAAGATTTTGCTTGGTACGATCAGATAATGGGGGCATCAGCAGTAACAATGGTGATAAAAACCTTTATTGGTTCACTTAAAAGAAAAGAGTCTTTGCTTAAGTATTTGTTACTATAGTACCATTTCAACTACTTAGGTCCAAGTTGTTTATGTGTTATCTCTCTTTTAAACATAGGAAAAATTTCTGGAACTCTATTCATCAAAATGTAGCAGTGGGTATCTCTGGATAATGAAAATATGGCAATTTTCATTTCCACTTATGCTGTCTAAATTTTTCTACAGTGAACATATGTGATTTATATAATTTTTTTTAATCTGTGGGTAAATGATCACAAATCATTTGGTTTCATCTCAGGCAACTTTTGGCTCAAAGTCTTATAATCCACAAGTAAAATCCATTTAAACACACCCAAATAATTTGTGCTCAAAAGAATGAGTTCCACAGATCACATCTAGACTATGCAAATAATAAATCCAAGTTCTGAAATTGCTTCATCCTTTTCTATTTCCTTTTACTTCTGCCTCAGGCAAGGAACAAAGTCTCACTGACCATTCTTTCAAAGCTATTCAACTATTTGCCAGATAATAAAAAAAATCCTAGAGGTTTTGTTTTTGTTTTGGTGGGACTGGAGTTTGAATTCAGGGCTTCTCACTTGGATAGCAGGCACTCTATCACTTGAGCTACAACTCCAGTCCATTTTGCTAAGGTTATTTTGGAGATGGGAGGGGGGGTCTCGAAAACTATGTACCCAAGCTGGCCTTGAACCATGATCCTCCAATCTCGGCCTTGCAAGTAGCTAGGATTACAGGTATGAACTACCAGTGCCCAATTAGAGTCCTGGAGTTTTGAGGATATTAAAAGTGTAGGAGAATGCAAGAACCCTCCCAAAGGCACATAGGTATGAAATTATATAGTGTGATGAGTAATAGAAGAGACAGAGTGGTAACTCCTGGAAAAGAAACAATCAGCTGTGTGCAATGAGAATGAAGGGAAGGCAGACTTAAAGGAAGAAGACTTGCTTTAAAGTATCACTGGCATTTATTTGAAGAAGCTAATACTCTGTGGCTTTGTTTTCTCACTAAAAATTTAATATGGCTGGGTGTGGTGGCACACATCTGTAATCCCAGCTACCCAGGAGATGGAAATAGGAGGACTGTGGTCTTAAGGCTAGTCCTGGTAAAAGTGTGAGACTCTATCTAAGAACACCAAACTAAAACCAAAAGGACTGAAGTATGGCTCAAGTGGTAAACCACTGAGTTCAATCCCCAGTACCACCAAAAAAAAAAAAAAAGAATCCACAAGAGCACTGTTTTCATCTAAAATAATGAATTGAACAAAATTTTTTGGGGGAGTACTGGAGTTTGAACTTAGGGCTTCATGCTTGCAAAGCAGGCGGTCTACCACTTGAGCAACACCTCCAGTCCATTTTGCTTTGGTTATTTTTGGAGACAGGGCCTTGTGAACTACTTGTCTGGGCTGGCCTCAAACTGTAATCTTCCCCATCTCAGCCTCTCAAGTAGATAGGATTATAGATGTGAACCACCAGTGCCCAGCTTGAATACTTTAAAAGTGTTTTGTAATACTTTTAAAGTTTCTTTTTTAGAATTGCTTTCAGAGCAATATCAGTAGTAGAAGAGAATTTCTTTATTTTTGGGGGGGAGTGCATGCTGGGGATTAAACATGCTAGGCAAGTGCTCTACCACTGACCTACATCTCCAGTTTTTATTAATTCTTAAATAGAGTTTGGCCACGGAATCAGACAAGCCTTGGTCTGTAATTGATGATCTTGGGCAGCTGATCTAAATTCCCTGGACTCAGTTTCATAATCATGGGTCCTACATTTATATTAGATGAAATAACATATTAATCACTTAGCACAATGTTTGGCATATAGTAACTGAAAAATGCTAGTTCACCTAGTTACTTTGCTGCCAACCTGAAATGCTCTAAGTGGTGTAATCAGCTAAGTATAGTTGGTTGGCTTGCCTAAGTCATATCTTCATTAGTAGATGACTGGCTACTTAGAAAATCAATCCAGTACAGCCATGTGAGTGTTCAATGTGTGGCAGAGTTCAGTTGAGGGGACATCAATGTAACTGGAAAAAATGGAACGAGCTCATGGAGAAAGGAGGATTTGAAGTGAACCCTATATTGAGAAAGGAAAGAAAATTCTAACACAGGAGAATCAAATGATCACAGGGTGAAAGTGTGATGTTCGCAGAGCAGTCAGGACTACTAGGGTACAGGGCACCCTTAGGAAAGCAGGGGCCTTAGAAGAATAAGTTAGGACAAGATTGTGAAAGGCCTTCAAGCTCAGGAGGGTCAGATAGGAAATGATGATTTTTGAGGAAGGTGACATGAAAAGCAGGGCTTTGGAATATGTCTAGGTCATGATATGTTTAGGGTGAGGAGGCAGGAAGACTAATTCCAAAGTTCAGGTTAGGGAAAAGAGGAAGGTCACCGTGAGGAAGAAATGCAGTGATGAATAATCTCAATGAGACAACATGGACTTATTGAGTATTTAGTTCTAAATGGTTCAAGAGTTCTAACCCACTTAATCCTCATAACAAGGAGTGTTATCCTCCTGAATTCAAGGCCCACCTATTTCATTGCACGGCTTTTTGAGTAAGTTACTTAACCACTCTGAGACTTAGTTTCTTTTATTTTATTTTACATTGTTTCCTGCATGATTTGTCTCCTCAGTCATTGTCCACAGGAATTGAGAGGTCATAGGAATATGCAGGTACAGACTCAAGGCCCACCTTCTTCTCCAACATTGTGGAAAGGGACAAATATGGGGCAAAGCCCTATGCTCCTGTACACCACTTGGACAGAGCCTAGGGAGAGTGACCTCCCAGGGTATCCATGGGGAATGAGGCTCAGTTTCTCAAAGCATGATATACCCCTGTATATGTCTAGGTTTTTCATCTGGACATAAGTTCCTATAAACTAGAAATTTTGCGTATTCACAACACCTAAGGCCCAAAAAATTCTGGTCCTTGATTTAAACTTAGAAATACTAATACCCCAAACTATCATAACCACTTGGCAGACCTCTTACCATCATCAACGCAACCATCCACTTTCATTATGCCTGAACCTAGGAAGGTGGAAGTAGCTGGCAAAAAAATAAACAAACAAGCAGACTGTTTGCATAATAACTCCTTAACTCCAAACAATAACCCTCATGGTCTTACTGCTCATTCTCTACCCTTTACAACCACTATTTCAAATCTCCACATGCCCTGAAACTATTTGAAAATCCCACTGACAGTGTGGCTCGAGCAGTAAAAATGCCTGCCTAACAAGCATGAGGCCCTGAGTTCAAACCCCAGTGCCGTAATTTAAAAAAAAAAAAAAAAATTCCACTCCTTATTCTCAAGAGAAGACCCAGACTCCTTGTCAGCAGAGAAGACAGAAGTCATCAAGCTGAACTGACTTGCCTACCTCTATACCCAACCTCTCCTTCCACCTCTGGTTATAGGGAAGAAAGTGCCTGCCCCTGTCATAATGCCCATCTGAATAAAAATGAAGGAAAAACAAATAACTAATGTAAAAGAAAAAAAAAGTTCATCTGTCTCTGGATGCCCTAGATCCTACCCTGGAGACTGACCTTGTTGACTTTCCCTACTCCCTCCTCCAGGACCTTCCACTTCTCTAAGGTCTTTGCCTTCTCTACAGAATCCTTTCCATTGATACTGTAGTATGTTGCCAACACAGTGGTGCACGCCTGCAGTCCCAGCTACTCAGGAGGCTGAGGCAGGACTGCTTGAGCCCAGGAGTTAAAGACCAGAGCAGGCAACAACATGAGACATTGTCTCAAAAAACAAACAAACAAGGAGATGTAGCTCAGTGTAAAACACTTGCCTAGCATGTGCAAAGCCCTGGGTTCACATCCCAGCACCAAAAAAAAAAAAAAAAAAAAACAAGAACACAGCAAAATATTTAAATATGTTTAACTCTCTTCTACTTGAGGAAAGGAAAGAGGGACAAAAGGATAAAGATATACAAAGAAAAGAAATGAAAGAAAATCACTACATTCCTTATTCCTCTTCAGTGACATCTCTTCTTATCTCTCTCCCTAATTTTTCTTCATCTCCAATTCTTTCAGTTTCCTTTCGTAGCTTATCCTCTATGGCAATCTTCAACTCTTATCGCTCTTACTCGTTCTTCAGGTATCCTCATCCATGCCCATGATTTCAAATGCTGTTTTTACACTGACCATTTCCAAAAATATTATCTCTAGTCCAGACTGCTAGACATGTACTCCCAACCCCACATACGCAGTATCTCTACTTAGATGGCTAAAAACATCTCAAAATTAAGTTTCAAAATCAAGTTAATTATTTCCCACCAAACAGGCTCCTCCCTCCATCTCAGCAAATGGCAACTCTATTCACTAAGTTGCTCTTATTAAAATGCTGGTGCCACCCGTGCCTCACACCTGTAATCCTAGCTACTTGGGAGGCTGAGATCAGGAGGATCACAGTTAGAGGCCAGACTGGGCAAATTAATCAGAGCAAAATGGACTAGAGATGTGGCTCAAGTGGTAAGGCACGCTTTGCAAATGCTGAAGCCCTGTGTTCAAACCCTAGTCCCACCAAAATAACAAAAAAAAAAAAAAAACTAAACCAAAAATTATCGTTTCTTTTCCCTCACTCCTCACATTCAATTAACACCAAGTCTTGACATTTCTACTTTTTAAATATCTCTGAAACCTACCCATTTCTCCCCATGACAATAGCCCCATGTGGCCTTGCCACCACTGTTTCTATCACTACAATAGTCTAATTCATCTCCCTTCATATCCTCTTCTCATTCCCTCCCCAGTCCTCACCCCTCCATTTTCTGTCATTTTGCCAAAATTGTCTTTTAAAGTATAAATGTGATGTCATCCCACAGAATTAAACCTTCCAATAACATCAAACTGCTTTAAAATCAGTCCAAGCCAGACATCAGTGGCTCACACCAGTAATCCTGGCTACTTAGGAGGCTGAGATGAGGAAGATCATGGTTCCAGGACAGCATGAGCAAGTAAGTTCACCAGACCCCATCTCAATGGAAAAAGCTGGACACGGTGGTGCATGCCTGTTATCCCAGCTACAGTGGAAAGCATAATACAGGATTATGGTTCAGGCAGGCCCTGGCAAAAAGCAAGACCAGAGCAAAACAGCTGAAGGTATGGTTCAAGCAATAGAGTACCTGCCTAGCAAGCACAAAGCTCCAAGTTCAAACCCCAGTAACACCACCAAAAAAAATCAATCTAAAATCCTGAACATTCCCTACAAGACCCACACAACCTAGCACCTGTCCACTTCTTCAGGCTCAGATCACTAAACTCCTCGCTCACTGTGCTGAATTCTTCCTAGTCCTCAGACACACCAAGCCCTTTCCCAGCTAGGAGTCATCACATCTGCTATTTCTTTACCCATATATCTTCTCTCCCACTCCATACCCTTTCACGGTTTAGGTGTCAGCTTTAATCATTGATCACTCTACCTACCGCCAACCATACTGAACCCTGGTTAATGCTTGGGTAGCATCTGGGTTTCTTCTTTGCAACACTTATTCACACCCGACTTAAATAATTACCTGTATAACGATTATGCTTAATGTCTGTTTCCAGACTACAAATTCTGTTCATTCAAATATGTATCTCTAGTAACTACCATAGCCTACATACAACAGGCACTCAATAATATTTTTAAATGAATGCATAAGCTTTACATTTTCTCATCTCTAGTGAAAGACACTGATTGTGTTATGCTAGGTTCCCATTTTTATGGTATATCCCAAAGAATATTTATTTGTTTACACTGAGTATGTTAAATACTCATCAGATACATAGCCCAAATGATCAACATCTTCACAAATATGTGTGTACCTATACGTATTTAGATACATCTATCTCAATTTTAAACCAAGTAGACTAGGATAGAGCTTACTAATTCAGGATTTGAGGGGGTTAAGAGCATCATCAAAACCACTCTGATAATGCTGAACAACTCAATTAAACCAGGTTTAAACGAAAAGAAAATATGACTCTAAGGAACAGAAAACTCATCAGTTCTGCCATTCAGGTTTCACAAGTCCCTACCATGAGTTTATAAAACTATATGTGGTCCTTGTCCTAGTATTTCCAAGAGGAAATGGCAAGAACACAGTATTCTCAAAATTCTATCGGAGTTATCCTTGCGCAGGGGCCATGCTAATCTTCTCTGTATCGTTCCAATTTTAGTATATGTGCTGCCGAAGCGAGCACTTCTATCGGAGTTAAACTAACTAGTTTGCTATACCACATAAACAACTTGTTAGTTTCTACCTTTAATTTTTTCCTCTCAATCAAAACTAAATAGAAAGTGAGAAAGGATGCCTTGTTCAAAAATTAGCTCTCTGCTTAACCAACCTCCCCTCTTCTGTTCCCTCCTTTAATTCAGCTTCTCTTTCATTTTTTTGTTCCATGTTGCTATGGTACAATTTATAACACACTGGTGATATTTTCCTTTCTGTTTCGCTCAATATAGGTTTATCTTATTTCCACAACTATACTCATAGTTTGAGAAAAGAAGCTCATAGTTTCTTTTCCTTCTATATCCTTTTACCAACCCAATATTCAAGAATACAAGGCACTTGCTCATTAAAATGACTGGGAGATAATGTAGTGAGTCCAAAAAAATACATTATTCTGAAGAAATAAACCTCGCCAAGAGACAACTAATTCCTTCAAGTTCACTCATAAGAAACTCAAAGGTCCATAGGTTCATTATTATACATAATGTGTCAATTCCCAACTCAGGCAATTCATAAAGTACCTGAGAACTGTAGAAATGCTTTTCAATTAATGAACCACATCCAGCTCTATTGAGGAAAAAAGGGAAACAGAGACCAAGGTCTAGGATGAATTGGAGAAGAAACAGATTGAAGAAAGGGTTTTCCTACATCTTTCTACTTCTTTGTCTTCTTTCTTCATGCTAGGACAAGGTGAGCTGGATGCCCATGTTATTGGCAGAATCTGAGAGGCAGGAGGGAGAGTAAGGAAGCTTCTGCAATCCCATATTAGGAAGACTTACCTGGGCAGTTGGGGAGGTCATGTGGAAATTCAATTTACATAAAAGGGAGATTTGTATTTTGTATTGAGTGATGCCCCTACTAACTTGCTAGAGTTTGAGATAACTTTTTTTTTTGGTGGTACTGGGGTTTGAACTCAGGGCCTCATACTTGCTAGGTAGGTGCTCTACCTCTAGTTATTCCTCCAGCCCATAGTTTTGGATAATATTTTAAACTCTTCTTAATTCCTCAGTACCTACACAAACAAGGAGGGCATTCACTGCCTCAGAAGATTCAAGTTTTGCATCATGATTCATGGTCATTCTGCCCACAGTAGCACTTGTTATTTAGAATAAAAGGCACCCTAAAAACAACTTAACTAACAGCCCAAAACTAAATATGATGCCACATCATACCCTGCATAGTGGACAGAGACAAATTGTGGGTACTTTAAAGTCATAGAGGGAGACAGAAGTGAGCTTAGAAAATATTGCATGCAAGCTTAAATTTATTTAAACTATCTTAAATACTCTTTGCAGAAAGACTGGCCATATAGTTTATCCAATGCAAATAAATCCTTTATGTAAAATAATAACACTTCTGTGAAGTAATGTTGGGCTGACTTAAAACAAAATGCAACTATATACAAGTTTATATTTGGTCAAATCAATTATGATTTATGAAATAACTCCTGACCACATTTTCAATATGAAAGGAACTTTTCCACTCCCAATCCCAATGTTATTCTTTGTTCCTTTACCAGGCACCCTTGTGATTCTCACCAGCTCTGACTCACTAATTCTTTCCTAATCTCTACCCTCTCCAGTTTAGGGGCAGGAACAATGTCTTCCTCTTTTTTTTTTCTTTTTCTTAATTAAATTCCTCATAGCACCTACTACATGGCCAGAAAACCCATCAGGATGCCAAGAATGGAGGGCAGACTTACCGTTTCCTGAAAATTTAGCTCTTGTTGACTAAAAGCTATGACTATGTGCCAGTTTTCTATGACCTCCTTTTATGCCCACTTTACAGATGAGGAAACAGGCATAGAGAATGTACTCATTAGAGTACAGCACTAATGAGCAAAGTGGAACTGGACTCCTGGAGGACTAGCTCCAGACTGTCTTAATCACTATATATAAGTAATATATATGTATATGTATATATGAATTTATATATATATATAAAATATATATATATATATAAATTCATAGCCACATGAAGCAATTTGTTTTTCATTTTATACAGGAGGAAATTTAGGCTCTGAAAAGATAATCCAAGGCCACACTGCTAGAAACTGGTGGGTCTGAGCATTTTCTGGCTGCAAAGCTCAAGCTCCTAACCACTAACAGTTTGCAAAGGGTCCTTCCAGTAATTTACAGATCAAGATGGGAAGAAGTTGGGGCAGGCTGGGAGAGATGTTGGAAAAGATAAGGTTAGGAAAGCAGAAACCCCAAGGAAATCAGACATACCTATCTGCAAATATGTGCCAAGAGGATGCCCTACAGCATCCAAGGAAGCAAAAACCTAACCCAAGTCCCTAAATGCCACCCCCTTTTTCTGAAGCTTCAGACTCCACACAACCCAACCCTTTTCTTACTGCTGGAAACACCGAGGCCCCCAGAGTTGACCTTCATTACATCCTGGTTTCCCAGCCCTCCACGCCATAGGTCCCGGGTGTGCTCCTGTACCCACCCCCACAGCTCGGCTGATGTTGTCCATCTTGCTGGCGACCTGTTGGAAGAGGGGGTAGCAGGTCTGGCAGAGGCGCACCGGCCGAGCGCTGCGCACTAGACACCCGGTCAGCTCCGCGCTGCTGTTAGCGAAGTCCAACAGCAGGTCCCGGCACTCGGGATCCAGATCCGGTAGGTCCGGGGGTAGCGACAGTGGCCCCACACCTCTACCCTGCAGCAGGGACAGGGTCAAGTCCTCCACCTCCAGCAACTGCTGCTCTGACAGAAGGTCGGGAAAGACCCTATGAGGACGGCTGCTAAAATAGAGGGCGCCAAGGGCCAACCTGGACCACAGCAGCAGCATCGGTGGCAGCCACCGCAGCAGCGATGGCCTCCGCCGCGCCACTATCGGGTCGGAATCCATCACCTAGTTCACAAGACCCGAGTCTCACGGTGCTGCTGCTCCGCCCACAGCCCGCAGCAGCAGACAGCCGCCGCTTCCGGCTTCCGCGGGCGCATGCCCGGAAAGGTCACGAGGCGAAGGCGTCATGGCCCGCCCACGGCCCCGCCCACAGCGAGCGGCGCCCCGCCCACTGGCCGCCGACCGCAGAGCGCCGCGCATCAGGAGCGCGCGGACATGGCGGCCCCGCGCTTGGACACGCGCCAGGCGTGGGTCTGAGGGCGCGTCACCCGGTGTGGCGTGCGGCAGGGAGCCCCAAATCTGGGCTCGCCCTCCGCAGGAAGGCAGGCGCCCCACACACACGATGAACAGCTACATCTCCCGGGTCTTGGTCGGTGAATGCCAGCGGCTTTGGGAGTTCCCCACCTTTTAGAAGTCGCCGGACCCTTGGAGAGAAAATTCGCAGACAGGTGGGTTTGGGCAGGGTTTTGATATTGATTGGTATGTTTTTCCTCATCCTATTTGAGGAGAGTAATGATGTCTGTTGGCTATTTTCATTTCATTTAAATGGAAGTAGCCACATCTGCGGGGGGGGGGGGGTGGCAGCTTGTATTGGACGCAGGTCCGGGCCGAAACCAGCAAGTTCATTTGGAAGAGGTTCAGTGCTAAACCGAGAAATGCTGGGCCCACGGCAATCGCAAGGGAGGCTGCAGCCTGATACCACTACTGGACTATAAAAGGAATTCAAACTCATGACCTGGAAAACGCTTTAGGTTGGTAGAAAAAGTATTTCTCGGATGTTTTGTATTATCCTGCTTTCCAGGTTATCATTTTTTGCCTCATAAATTGCAGAGCTATTGCACTAACTGGTTTTTAACTTAGTTGTCCTATTTATGTTTCCAAGGGGTTTTTGTTTTTGTTTTGCCGTACCGGGGCTTGAACTAAGGGCCTACACCTTGAGCCACTCCACCAGTTCTTTTTGTGGTAAGTTTTTTCGAGATAGGGTCTCGCGAATTTTATTTCCCCGGGCTGGCTCGGAACCACAATCCTCTTGATTTCTGCCTCCTGAGTAGCTAGGATTACAGGCGTTCACCTGCCTTCCAAGGGTTCTTATACTTCCTTTTTACCCCATCTGTTCGGTTATTGTTTTGTATCTTTAAATTTGCTTGTGATTGCTACAGTTTGTTTCATTTTTATTACAGTAAACCGAATAGTAAGAAGTTTGATTTGTGTAACAATAAATGTTATTTCCAAAAAAAAACCTAAGTTGTTAATTTTCTCAAATGTTGTTATTTAACTTTTAGGTCTTTCTAATGTACTGGAATTACCATCTACTTACCATCTTGTGTAGCTGGTGGATGTGTACATTGGTAAAGTTCTGTAGAAAGCAAAAATGCACATACTAGCTGGTGGAATGACTCAGGTGGTAGAGGGCCTGCTTTGCAAGCATGAGGCTCTGGGTTCAAACTCCAGAACTGCCAAAAATATTTTTTTTAATTAATGAATATAAAGATCCAGTCCTTCAGGGTTCTGTGTCTGTGATTTTCATATTCTAAAAGACTGGTTGTCTAAAGGTTTTTGCTGGTGGAGTGGCTCAAATGGTAAAGAGCGCCTGCCTAGCAAGTGTGAGGCCCTGAGTTCAAACCCCAGTGCAGCCAAAGGAAAAAAATGCACATATTCTTTGATCCAGTAAGTTCACTTCTAGGAATTTATCTTCAACATACACTAACCTTTATAGACATGATTACTTGTGGCAATTTTGTTTGTAATCGTAAAAGGATAGCTTAAAAGGCATGCTCATTAAATTTATGGATCCTTTTCCCTGTCCCTTCCCTTTCTGGAACCATTTGGTCCTAAAGATCAAGTTGAGCAAGGTAGGCATCTGTGCTTGGTGAACTTGACATGTCAGAGGCCTGAAGAGTGATGACATAACACAAGTAAGATGAGGAGGACATTCCCAAGAAGGAAGGAGGCAGAATCAGCCTGGTGCAGGTATGGGATTCTGAATAGGATAAGAAGTGTTTCCATTCAGGGGAGTGGCAGCAGTGACTGGAAGGTTGCTTACATTCAGAGGGACTGATCAAATAAGAAGTTTGTTATAGATAATGAGAATCTAGTTTCTCACCCTCTGAAAAAGGAGTTACAAGTATGAAGAGAGGAATATACTCTGTAGTGTTGGATTAAACTCAGAAAATTCCAAACTCATGAATTAAAATATATAGAGATATAAAAATAAATATGGACATAAGTGTATAAATTTTCGTATGTGTGTTTCTCTTGGGTCTGTCCATTGAGAAAGCCTATTAGCAAAGGCACTTCAATAATAATGAGCATAAATAGCACCCACATATTGGCTTCCAAGTATCATTCTCTACTGGAAGGAACCAAGCAAGGATCCATGGAGAAATGGCTGATTCTACCAGTAATGCAGGAAAGCTATAAGTTGATCCTGGATCCTCTTTGCCAGAAAGAAAGGAAGTTCTCCAAAGCTTGAATAGGTTCCCACTGCCCAGTCTGAGACAATTTGAGCATCTAAATAAATAATAATGGTTAACAGATTATAAGTCATTGAAAAAAACAGGAAACTATAAGCAGAAAGTGACATATTTAAATAAACGAGTATGATGATAAAGAATAACATGTTTACATACTTTCAGAGTCCTGCCACCAAAGAAATAGAGTAGATTTATAATACAGAAGTCTTCAGACTCCATGTTAATTAAATGATTGATTTGAATATCATTATAATAGGGTGTATAGAAATTGCCACCTAACAGGATGCAACTAGACCAAAGCATCAGTTCTGGTACATTTTTGCCAAAGATGTGTCATCTGTAGTTAGATGAAAGCATCAAACTCAATTAGGTTCATACTACAAAATATCTAGCTGGTAATCTTGAAAAATGTTATGGCTACAAAAGTAAAGACTTCTGGGGTAAAATGGTGGACTAGAAGTTTCCTCTGTACAACTCTGTGAATAAGAAGAGACAGGGTAACAAAAGGGAGACAATATTCTAAGGAGAAAAAACATTGGGAATCAAGAAAGAAGTGTTAAGACCCAAAAAAAGCACAGAGAAAAGTAGGAAATAGTCTGTAGCTGCAGCCCTGGCTCTCCAGAGGGAAGGTACCAGAAGGAAAACCAGGCAGCTTTGGTGACAACAGACTGGTCGTCCTAGCCATAGGAAAAACACGAAGTTGTCAGAAGTCTTAAATCCAGTGTAGGGATTTGGCATGACAGTGACTCTTCCTGCATAGCAGGAGAAAAAAATCAGTTGCATGGCTTCCCATATTTCAGAGGCTATAGCTAGGCACCATATTGAAAGGGGACCTATTGTGTGAAACTGAGCTACTCTGGGACCTGAAAACAAGGAACAATCATAAGTCAGAGGACCTGGGGATATCCTGCCACAGTATCTGGGTACTGATACCACAAGAGTCATCTGTGGAGAGGAGGAGTTTCATACATAGACCTGCTGAAAAATGTAAATAGCAGTGAGCCCAGGCTGTGGAGGCTTCAATGGTTGATCCCCTGATTGTCTGTAGCCAACAATGAGCCCCACTCCCTGTGGATTACTGCAGAGTCTGAGAGTTCCAAGCAAGTGGCTACCAGATTGCACAAACTCTAGAGTTGCCTCTCTGCTATGAGGGGTTTGCTGCCTGGCAGGACTGAGAGTTCTGAGCCTTGGCCCAGTGGATCACTTGATTTCCCCAGCCTTCCTCCTCTTGCAGGGTTGCTGACTGAGACTGCTAGGCAGAGTGCCCAGTTCCTTCAGTTCTCCCCCTCAAGTACAGAATTCAGTGTATTGTTTGTTTTCTCCACTCTCTGACACAATCAGGAAGGACAACCCTCAGCTTAGATGTTTGCTGCCCCTGATTGAATAAACTAGGGGTCTCTGGAAGAAGTGAGAACATGCCTGCCCCACCAGCCACAAAGCTCATTGGGACCAGCAGCAGTTCCTGGCATACAAAGAAGGAAAGCTTCTAAAGTGAATGTGGCCCTGACACTGACAGTGTACTCCTGATTGGCCATCATTCCACATACAGCACTAACCTGTACAGTGGGAACAGAGGAAATCAATAGACTGAAGAGATGGCCCATTACTGCTCCCCATCCCCACCCACTCACACACCTATCAGATTCCAAGATTATAAAACCAGAAAAGAAGCTTCTCTGATTCTTTGTCCTTTTTTTATTTTTTTTTTTTTGTATAGGCATACATACACAGAAAGAGAAGATCTTGCTATATAACCCACCTTGGCTGCCAACTCACGATCTTCCTGCCTCCACCTCCCAAGTGCTAACATTACAGGTGCATGTTACCACGTCTTGCTCTTTTTACTATATTTTTAGTATTGTTTTTACTTTAGTTTTTTTTTATCTTCTATTTTTTTATTCCTATTCTTACCTTTATGTCATTGTCTTTACATAGAAGATATCGCTTCCTCACATTCTTTTCCTTTTTTTCTTTTCTTTAACCTTGTTTTTTTCCTTCTTCTCTTTCCAACCATCAATGTTTATTTCATTTTTAAATTATTAATAATAATTTGAGGTGGGAAGCCTCAAACAAGAGGACCATGGTCCAGACTAGCCTGGGAAAAAAGCAAGACCCTATCTCTAAAATAACAAGAACAAAAAAGAGAAGTGTGGCTCAAGTGGTAGAGCACCTGCCTAGCAAGCATGAAACCCTTTATTAATAACTTCACAGTTGTTTTCTACATTATTTTTGACAATTTATTTTCTGTGGTTATTGGTGGTGTACTAGTTGTCTTTAATTGATTTTTATTGTATTTCTGTATCTGGTTCATTTTGTTATTGCTAGTATGGCAGTTTGTTTTCTCCTCTCTAAGCAGTATTAGAGATTGAGCCCTCAAGAGATGACTGCTCACTAAAAAGACCAACCCCCCCTATGTAAAACCAGAAGAGAGACTATCCCAACAGAGGTGCAAATCACAACATAAAAACATAAGAAATATGAAAAAGCAAGACAACATGGCTCCTGGAAGTTCATATTTCTTTAGTGGCTGATTCAAAGATATTGAAATTGTTGAAATACCAAGAATTAAAAGTCTAGTTTGTAAAATGATCAGTGAGAGAGAGAT